CTGTTAATTATTTCTCCTCTGTTTCTTTGCTTCCTACATGTGAAAAAGAAATACTTTGTGTGGCCTCTACATATGTAAGTAGTAGCCCACATAGGATATCATTGGTGAGACTGACTAGTTTGAGCAATGGAAGAATTAAGCAATAAACATCGTGCTCAAGTTTGAATTCTTGTTGAACACAGACATGAACACCCAGAAGAAGAGGAAGACACGTAAGTTTTACACGAGTTTTTTTAAAAAAAAAAAATTAAATGTCAAATCAGACTATTATTAGTTAATTAACGGAAATTAACGACGAGAGACTTAAATCAATCAGATCAACAAAAAATAAAAGTTCAAATACATTTGACTAAAAAAATCGATGATCAAAATTAATCAGATAAAAAATAAAGGAGATTATTGGCCTAGTTTACCTGATATAATTATTGAACTTGTTTTAAAAGCACGCGCCCTGTGTAGCCCGTTCTTCTGCACTCCACACTGCGTACTCTTTAGTAGTTTAATCAACTAAAGAGAAGGAGAGACCTGAGGAAAATTTATCGCAAATCTTTCATTTTCTCTCCAAAGGGAAACACCTTCATTTTAAGTCAAACAATGGTCGACGAATCTTCTCTCTCTCCTTTTGTTTTTCTTTTCTGTTCGCCTGATAATGTTAGCAAAGAACGCTAAAAGACTTTCAATAAAAGACTTTCAACTTTTTTTTCTTTAAAAAAAAAAGACTTTCAAAATTCGCTGCGTGTATGTGTTTTTGTCAAATCGCTTCGCTAAACTGAGCTACATGAAGTTCTCTACACTAACTTTGATTGACTTTAAACTTTAAGCTCATTTATTTATCTTAAACTGCATTGGATTTAATAATTTGTTGTTCTTTCGTTTTGTTTATGCTCTTTGGATTTGTGAACTGTGATCTATCTGTATGAAGCGATGATAAGAAGAGAAAGGGAAAAATGTTTAAAGCAGTTTCTGGAGACATGATATGATTTATTTACTTGATTTTGAAATGTTTTATGATGCGTAGTTTGGTAGGAAGAGATTACCTGATCCACAGGATGATCAAGCTGCTGATGCGGCCGTCTCCAATGGCACTGTGACCTCAAATGGAAATCATTCTGTTAATAACTCGTCTGATATGGCTATTTACGAGCAGTACCAAAAGCAGGTATATTTTTTAGCCTTTCAAATCCTTTTTTTAAAAAAAACAATTTTCGTGTATTTCTTGATTGGAATGATTTATTATTGTTGTTGCTTCGTCTTCAGCATAAGATCCAGGTGCCCTCCAATGGTGTGGTGTCTAACGGATTTGATTCAAGACCGTATGTTCATTACTTCCTCTGATTTGCTACTCAATAGATTTGTTTGTTTACACTAGGCTTTTATATGTATAATTCTCAACATTGATTACTCGGATTAATGGTTCCTGTGTTTGAAGTTGAATCCTGATGGTTACTGGGAAGGAATATTTAATTCTCCAGTTCTTTATAAAATGATGATTTTGATGTTTTCTTTTCCTTCATATGTATAGGCAAAGGCCTCTTCTTCCTGCTTTTGAAACTTCAGAAATGCGTGTTTTAGGGGAGAGTTTGAGCAGGTAACCAGGATATTCATTGGCGATAGAAATGAAGTTTTAGCTATCGGTCTATTGTTTAACATTATTGCTTGAAATTTTCTCTAGTACATATCATCTTACGTAATCCTCTTTTAGGGACATTGTTCGAGGGAGTCCCGATGTGAAGTGGGAAAGCATCAAGGGATTAGAGAACGACAAGCGATTGCTTAAAGAAGCAGTTGTTATGCCAATAAAATATCCCAAGTAAGTATTTCTGTGCCCTGATCATGGATTCTGTGCACAGCATGCTACCAGTTTTTTCCCTTGAAAATGATTGTGGGGTGTACCCATTTTTTCACTCGACTGCTAGCTTATGCTTCTGAATCTACAATAGTCTGGCATTTCTTGAATTTTTTCAGTGTTGAAATGGAACTTACTCTTGTGCAGTTTTCCCTAAACTAAAGTTCCATTTTATCATATGAAGTGAATAAAGTGGGCAAATGGCAATGTGTTTGCTCTAGTGAGTAGAGATATTCATGTAAAAAATTAGAAAGTAGAGAGAGTCTGTTTATGTGTCCTGCAGACCAATTCCAGGATCTTACATTTGGCACTGAACTTTATAGAACTAGAAAGGGAAGCAACCTCAGTTCTCTACAATGTTATCAAGTTGATAAGATTCCAAAGCTACTACTCTCAACAGTGCATGGGATATGTTTGTCAAGCACTCTTTTATTTTCCCGTCTTGGTTGAAAGGAAAAGCAGATTTGTGATTTGTGAGGGCTTAAATCTTCTATAAGTTAGTTCTATTAAAAGTGGACGGATTATATTACTAAGGGATTTGAACATTTTCTGCTTTTCAGTTCATTTTCTGCTTCTCTCTCAAATACTTAAAAGTTGAGATCTATGGAAATATTGTGTAAAGCACCATGGGGGCTTATGTTTTTCGAATTTGATTTTGTAAACGTTGATGAAACATAATAATATGTTATGGACTTTGAAGCTTTCATTTCAAAACTGATGATTCCCTGTAGGTACTTTACGGGTCTTCTTTCACCATGGAAGGGTATTCTCCTTTTTGGCCCCCTGGGGACGGGAAAGGTCTGTATTTTCCTCAATTGTTTCCATCAAATAAATGTTTTATACAAGTCATCTTCATAATGCAGTAGATATGCAAGATATTTGGTTAATATGATATTAAAAACGATCTTTCATGATGATCATATAGTAAACTTCAGATTGACAGTAGGTCACAGTTTCTCCAACATTGAAAAAGAAATATGCTTCAAGGTATATCGCTATATTGTGGTAGTGTTTGTATTGATGTTAGCTTCTATTGGAACCACCATTTTGGTTGCAGACAATGCTAGCAAAGGCTGTTGCAACAGAATGCAAGACTGCATTTTTCAATATTTCAGCATCATCTGTAGTCAGCAAATGGCGTGGTATGTTAAGCATGTGATTTCCAAGATCTTATTGGTCCTAGGCATGAAACTTATTGGTCTCTAAAATGGAGAACGGCAAGAAATTGTTCTAATCAATAGCAATTTCGTCTTTGACGGGGATCATTTTATATCTGTCCCATTCGAATTTCTTACTTACCAGCAAAAGAAAAAAATATCATTGATAAAATTCTTTGATAAGCTATTTAAGATCACGGTCACGGCATCGATCCTCTAAGAAAAAGAGATCATGATGTCAATGTAATCAAAGGACCTGTCCGAACACCACTATTGTGATTCTTAGAAATATCACTAAGTTGTCTGACGGAGTTTATTTCAGGTGACTCTGAGAAGTTAATAAAAGTACTTTTCGACCTAGCTAGGCACCATGCCCCGTCTACCATATTTCTTGACGAGATTGATGCCATCATAAGTCAGCGAGGCGGCGAAGGGAACAGCGAGCATGAGCAAGTAGGCGATTGAACTGAGCTACTTATGCAGGTGATAATTGTTTCTCAAGATGCGTCCTTTCAAGTGAAATTTATAGTTCATGCATATTCATAACGGATGTCTTACACGGAAACTGCTCTCAACCTGGCGTTGGGGGCAGTTTACTACCCTACCTCCCCCTTATCCCATTACATATCAGCTAATATATTATTTAGATACCTTCTAGCACTGTTACTGGTTTATTTTAAATATCATAATACTCTAGATTCAGGTGATATAAACCATCAGGAGAAAATAAACTACAAGCATTTTATATATCAATTGGACTCTCTCCAAAAATTGACATGTATATTAAACCACAGACGGATGAATGGACGCGGTCGGATGAGCTCGTGTTTGTCTTGGCAGCAACAAACCTGCCTTGGGAATTGGATGCAGCCATGCTCGTCTGGAAAAGCGAGTATCCTTTGACTGTCTATGAACTGTTTAGTCTTTTCTACATGTTATTTCTCTAGCTAGATAGTAAGATTGATAGCATCTTTTACACAAATAACCCGAAAATCATTACGAACTGCAAGCAATGTCACCCGTTAACCACGTTGAAAAAAGATCCTTGTTCCCCTCCCAGAACCAGAAGCGATACATTAGTGGAGAGATCAGATGGTTATTCGGGTTCGGATATTCAATTAGTCTGCAAAGAAGCTGCCATGCAACCATTGAGACGTTTAATGAGAGACCTTGAGAATAGCTCGGAAGCAGTGGCCGACCAAGGTATGCATCTCTTGTACCAATCTACAAAGAAACAAAGAGATCTTTGATTTCATTTAGGGTAAAATATGCCGATAGTTTCCTATGTTTTCGATCTGACCGACTTTGATCACTGAAAAAATTAAAGGGAAATGGTCACTAACGCCATTAGTTCGTCCGATTTAAATCCCTAACGTTATCCATCTGTCCGATTCAATCCCTAACATTATTGGTCAGTTCGATTTTAGTCCCTCAATCATGACTTCAACCAAAAGGACTTAAAATAAAAAGGGTTAAATAAAATTAATAGCATAGAGACTTAATTTATATGGACCAATAACGTAAGATATCATTTCTCATTTTTTTAATGAACAAAATTAATCAGACCGATAACAAAAAAGACTATTCGCATAGTTTACCTTTCATTTATAATGAAACAGTTAGTTTTCTGTTTGCAGAGCTGCCAAAGGTTGGGCCAATTACTCCCGATGACATAGAGACTGCTTTGAAGAACACGAGACCATCAGCTCATTTACATGTTCATCGTTATGAGAAGTTCAATGCAGATTATGGCAGTCAGATACTCGAATGATGGCCGCTACGCAGATTATGGCAGTCGAATAATTTAATGATGGCGGCTGGCCAGCATTGATGGCACGCTAATTGTTAGTTGCAATTATCCAGATTTTATAATCATGTTCCTCAGGTTTCTTACCAATGCCTAGTTAGAGTGAGTTTGTTTATGGATCCTAGAATATTTTCACAATGATACGTCAAGAAACAGTAGTTTAAACATGGAGAAAGCATCACCTATTTCCAAATTTCAATAATTCATCACAACAAGAACAAAAATATCCAGAAACAAGTTTTCTGCAACTTCAAGAAGACAAGATCCCACAATAAGCATAGAAAAGACCATTGTGCTAAAATCCACCCCAAAAATACCCATTTCCATATGGAATTCAACGAAAACCCTTCAAAGAATCACCAGTCTTGCCAGATCTTGCATCAGTCCATGCTTTGGCAATTGTTCTTTTCATATCCTCGTCCCCTTCCTCGTACATATTCTGCAATTTACACAAACCGGCAGTAATTTAGACATTGGGAATTTGTCAATAAAACACACGCCATGAATAAATCATGGAATAAACTTTACCTTCATTAAGTCCATGATTCCAGCCATGGGATCTCGCTCTTTATCCAAGTTTGGCTTCAGCTGTGTGAAAATGAAAAATATTATTAGTGTAGCTTAGTGGTAAAAAAAAAACATGGAAAGTAATCTTATGGTAATCTAGGCAATTACCTTGTCCTCCTTGTAGTGTAGATCAGACCAGTTGCCTTTACAAGCTTTGAACAATGTGATGATGACTCTTTTAGGCTTAACTATCACCTTGCACTTCTCTGATTCGATTTCCTTGTTCAATTTTTGAATAGCACACCTATAGTTTTTACCTTTAACGTCGTGGAATTTAACATCAAAAGACATCGGCTTGAAATCTGCTTGGATTTTCTCCTGTTCAACTCCTTCCAGAGAGACATATATCTGTTGTATAAATACAGGATCAGCCAAAAAAAACGAACAAGGCAGAGAATGCAATGAAAATACAGAATAATTACTGCTATCAAAAAGTTGAAGAGAAATCTAAGAGAAGCTGCTAAGGGTGTTAATTGTTATCGATCCGAGAAGCTGCTAAGGGCGTTAATTGTTATCAATCCGAGCTCAAGAGAATCAAAATTTGATTTGAAATAACAATGAATTCACTTGGGATGTATTACATCCTTTTATGGTGTCAAAAATTTAATAAATTTGTCAGAATTTGACCTTGTACTTTATTAAAACTGAAAACCGAGAAGTTAGTCCATCTCTTGCTAAACACAAAAAGTAGAACTTTGAGTTTTGCTAATCCGTGCAGATAAATTACTGAACTACTAGTCTACTACTAATATTCGGATTAGATTAGCTTCTCATTTTTCATAAACTAGGATGACCAAATTCCAACAACTTAAATCGAAGTGACTAACTTTTCAAATTCGTAAAGAAAAGACGGAATTAAAATCAGACCAAGATTTTGGGTTCAATAAGTCAAATGGATAATTTGTCTTTCAGGTTGCAAGGTTGGGGATTTGATATTTTATACTAGCGATGAAAATTATCTAAGTCTCAAAAAATATCGAAATTTCTTACCTTGACTTTATCGTTGTCTTGATCCCAGCTGAACGAGGCGAGTGTAACGTAACTCGGTGCTGGGTTAACCGGAGCCTTTGCTGAGGTTGCAATGGGAATTGGAATTTGTGGTGCAGCAGCAGGAGAAGCTTCATTTGCATCCTCTTTCAATGTCTGCAACAGAAGAACTCAATAAACAGCCAAGAAAAATGCCAAACACCATTGAATATGAAACAATCTACACTGCGAAAGCAAACCCCGTGAAGAGCCTTTAAGAAAAACCAGAAACTAGAAATCAGGATACCTAAACTAGATTCAATATGAAGAATCGAATCAAAATAACATGACGACGTTTCATTCAAAACATCAAAATTTCAATATCCAAGAAGAAGAGGGGGGGACCTTTTCCAAGTTCCGAATCTCAGAGGAAATAAAAGATAAAATACGTGGCCTCTTCGCGATGCATTGAAGCTGCTTAAGCTCCTCCAAATCTAGCGCCAATTCTTCTGCCATTCTTTCCCAAATCTCTTGCTATTTTCTCTTAGGTTTTAAACTCTTTTATCGGATGTATTTAGAGCAGTATGTGAGGGTGCCTTTATGAAACGAAAAATAAGAGACTAGAACCTTCCAGTTAAGTTTAGGGATTTCCAAGGGATTTATTAATGGTTAAACTATACATATAGTCACTAGCATTTGTGTAAATATATTTTGAATCATCAAAGTTTTAAAATTACATTATGATCATTTATGTTATCATTGATTATAGGCACTATTATGGGTATGAATGTGTGTGTGTATATATATATATATATATGTTAGGATCCACTTACACTAAGTGAATATTTTTCTTTCATCCTACAATATAAAAAGGTGTAATTTTTTTTTAGTTTTACACTATATAATTAGAACTAGTCCTATATGTTGCATGCACACCCAGGACGGATGCATTAAGCCTCTTAAGGGCTAAATGTATCCCATTATTTAATAAAAATAGTTAAATTTAATTTTATGTGTTAAAAAATAAAATTTTACATATCCATTATTTTAAAAAAATAATATTAAAAATTTTAGATTCTCGTTGTTAATTTTATAAATTCGTCATTTTGTACACCACGTTATCTGACGTAGGAAGGAGAAGACCATCGATCCTCGTCAACATTAACCAGGTCTTAGCGTACATTGTTTCCCCATATACCTCTTACTACATAAAGATGACCCTAGAAAAAGCTCCTTTGTGAAAAAAAGGACGGCGTATTGTGACCAATACTGACAAAGGGAATAAAGTGGCTCATTTCGGGGATTGAAATTAAACAACCGAACAGAGCTTTAAGCTTATTCATTATCCCATTGATTTTTTCATAATCTTCTCTCATAAAGATGGGGAAAAAAGCAAAGAGAGTTATCCATTATGGATTCCACGTCCAAAAGTGTTACAAAGAAAGCTTTCTTGACAACCAAATAAACTCGTTTCATCGTGGTTGAATGGTTCAGTTCGATATTTATAATGATGGTTAATAATATTCTTCTTACATTATTTGAGCTACAATAAAAAGAATACAATGGGTTTTGCTTACGCTAAAAAATTACATCCTATTCTTCAACATAATCAACACAATTCACGAAATGGTATGTTTTGGAATTGAACCCAATGGTGAATTCAATCCATTTGTTGAACTTGGTTTATGTTGATCATAAAACAATTGTGTAGGTCAACTTGTGAAGAATTTTGGTGTCTTTCATCTTTATCAAGTGGTCTTGTGGAAGGATAAAATGACCCAAATTTTCTTTTCTTACCAAAAGGTAATATTTACATGCATTGTCCATTTTGCTTTAATGTTGTCTTGGTAAAACTTGGAGAGCCAACCAATACACAAACATCCAACACACTAAGCTTTCATACCCCAATTTTGCAGCCTGTTAACAAAATAATGGCATTTGAACAGAGATGTAACTGTAGTAAGAACTTAAAACAAGAAGGCAAAAGCAATGATTTTACCTTATCTGAAGAAGATGTAAGGAAAAAAGAAGATGGTGATGTTGAAGTTGATGTTGATGAAGTTGTGGACAAGGCAGAGAGTCCACGTTGTAAGCAATGATTCCATCGGGTTCAAAAGACCGTAGTTTCGCTCCGATGTTGGTCCGGGCTTCATATCCTCATTGACAAAGCAAACAAGTACACTTCAAGCCTGGTATTTGGTCTCAAGGGTGTCCCCTCATTACTCATTTGCCTCCTCACCAAATTCCTGTTGTAAACGGCTGCATTCATCGGTGTCGCTCCTACTTCATCGGGGTCCCCTTTGACGGCCAACCCGTCTCCGCCACTCGCACCTCGATCCCTCCATAACCCAAACTAGTCATCGCATAAACGACAGCATCTACCTGTGCGTACAACATGTTGTCGTAGTGTAGCTTGGTGTAAGGATCGACCATGCCCGGATTTTTGTTGAACAGAACATAGTCCAAGGAAACGTTGTCCGGGGCACCTTTGTAAGCGAAATAAGGGTATGCATTGATCCAAAACGGGGAGCCGGTCCTCGCCAGAAACCGAAGATACTCTGACATGATCCCCGAGACCTCGCTCTTGAAACTCCCGGCTGACGGGGGAAAGATTCTCGAAGAACGGACAATGAGTTGGGTGTAGAACTCGAATGTACTTGTCTAGTCCTAATTGAACTAAGCACCGTGGATGCTGACCATGGCCGGGACGAGATATCCAACAAGGGACGTGTCGGCATCGGTGAACACTTCGTTCCCAACCGATATCTCAGTGATCTTCGTGGCCGGGAAATAAGGCTGGACGTGGGTGCGGACCCATTGAAGTGCTTGTTGAGGATCCATTACCACGGACAGCATTTGGTTTTCAACCGTGACGATGAGCTCAACGTTGGAGTTTGGCGAATGTTGTCAGAATTTGAAAATTGGTGTCGTAAATTTTTGCTTTTGTGATCTTAAGGGAACTTAACAGTTCAAGAACCTTGTCGGGTGGTGGCAAATTGCTGCCAACTTGACCATAGTTGATGCCTAATGAAGCGACTCGTAGTATACCATATTCTGTAAATAGACACATCAAATAACCATTAGTACCTATTCAAAAAAAAATTAATTATTGACGACACATATTTTATAGATACAAATGTTCGAAATCAAGTTATACAAAAAAATAATATTTACCTTTAATACAAAAACTACTTAATAATTTTTTATTTTGCTCGTATTTAAATATAAATATTCTTAACAAAAAGAATAAGAACATACCTGAGGAACATAGAGAAAGGAGGAAGAAGCATGGTATATCATGGAGATTGTTGTTGAAAACGTTGCAACGAAAGAAAGAGATACAAGGGGAATTCTTTGCTTGTTTGAGATTTGATTTTGAGATATTTTAGTTGCCTTTGTTTATTTTTTTCTCACACCTTAAAGGGGGTTTTATACGACTTGGTTTTTTTTACATGTCTTTTTATTTGGATTTTGGTCCTTTGGACCAGATGTCTCTTTCCAACGCACGCCGAACTTCTTACGATTTCTTATGGGTGTTATCATTATTACATAATTGCCACATCCACTGCTTCACACGGAAGAAAGCTAAAATCTTGAGTTTTTTTTTTAATTAATCACTGGTACCGCAGAGATAATGATCCTTATAATCCAATTTACTTCATTAGTAAACGTTAGGATTTGAACTCCTAACTTTGTTTAAAAATAATGTCTCATCTCACTACCAATTCTTTGTTGGTCAAATCCCACCATGGTTAATTAAAAATGTATTAATCTATATCGACAACTAGTTGGTCAAGTAGAATGAGATATTGCATTCTCTTAAGTAAAGTCAGAAGCTCAAATATTGATGTTTACAAATAAAAATTGAGTTGGAATCGCTTCTATAATGGGGTTTACAAAGCCTGATTTGGAATAGTTGATTATTAATCGAACACATGTGGTTAGATCAAAAAAAATATGTACTATGCCGACGAGTGTTGGTACAGGTGTTTGCGATTCAAATTTTGAGCTTATAAGACTAAGTTCGAATCTTACCACCATCACTCTTAGTGGACAATCTGTAAATTCCTATATAATCTCAAGTGGGTCTTAGGTATATTTTGACCCTGGACTAGAGAATCACCCTAACCTAAACTTATGTAACAAAAAAAATGTGTACTACTACGGTTTTCTTGAAGGTAAAAAATTGGTAGTCAATTAACTTTTAGGATAATTTTACTTTGGTCATTAACTTAAAACTTGTATTACAATCATTAAACTTTTAAATCTTTTAAACTTTCATTACGATCACGTCGTTTTGAAATACTAACTTGAAATCCCTTAATTTTCAAATGAACAATCCTCATAAAGGTTGATTTTCAATTAATAGAGCAATCACATTTAATACGATGATGAGAAGACTCACTCTGATTATAAGGTTAACATAGTTTGATTTTAAGTGAACAGTGATTAATAGAGGAGGGTAAAAAAAATAGGTTTTAGTTTTTATTGGATTGTCACCTCCTCTGTCATTCAATAGTTTTTCGATAAAAAAGATCACCAAATTTTATTTTTTTCAGTTCAAACTCGTCGAAAAATTCTAATCTCTTCAAATCTCAATTGAAACTAAAAACTAAAAGTTACCAATATGCCGATGTTAATTCTTCTATCAAGTTAAAATCTAACTATATTAATTAGTTAAAACTAATAATGATCAATTGAATGAAATTAGATAAGCATGTTCTAGTTTAATCTAGCCAATACCCATATATTATGAACAAATTATACTTTAAATATGTATTCAATTGTATTTTTGTATTTTTACTTTGGATATAATCATGAATTTTCCTTCATTGATCAATGTATATGGATTTTTATTATATAAAATAGAGGTTTGGCAAACAAAGATAACTGTAGCTGGTAGCTGATTCCAGTAGTTAGTTTAAGCAACTGATTGATTAGCTGATTAAGAATCTGATTTGATAACTGATTATATAGAATTGTTTGGTAAAATTTAGTTGATAATGGTAAAATGAAAATAAGTGTATGATACATTTAGTGTTAAGTACATATATGTTTTATAATCTTTAGTCTTATTGGGGTGAAATTATTCAGATAAATGTTTTTGACAAAGAATAAAATTCCTTAAGAAAATTAGAGAATATTTTTTTAAAATTGTGAATATTTTTTAAATTTATAATTATAAATAACCTTGTGAGATTGATACATATTGTTAGCCTTGTATAAAATATCGACACTACATTTTTTACTTTCATGTTTTGCTACATTTCTTAATTAAATATATTTGGAATCTACAACTAAAAATAGAATATAAAATAAGATTTCACTAAAAGATATTAGGATGGAGGATATTTCATAGATTAGGTTTTATGCCAAGATGTAATTATAGAAATAATAAGGTCAAATAAATCATTTAACATATTATTTTACAATCAGTTTTTCCAAACCGTGAATTTTATAGCGTTTTCATTTCAGCTTATTTTGCACAATAAACTCTTTCAAAAGGTGTTTACCAAATACTAAAAATTGAGAGTTTAACTATCAATCAATTATGCTTAAATAACCTAAAAACTCTTTAAAAAGTTGTTTTTAAA